TGTGTGTTCAACAGCTGGGACTTTCTCTGTCACTATAAGTCACTTGGATTATCAAAGTCATCGGTTCAAGGTAAGTATTTTTAGTCCTTTTGTCCATGTTGTTTTTCATTTATTATCCAAATGTTTAAATGGAGGCCAGAATGTATGGAATTCAAAATAAGATAAAGATGTTGTTCAATAGTGGGACGTGTGAAATACTAAAAAATTACTGCTTTTGGTAATGTTATGACATTTTGTAAAAAAAATAAATAAAAAGTTCAAAAAATGTCAAAGTAGTAAAGTGCTGCATAGAGTAAGGTAAAAAAATGTTATTGTTAACTAAGGCATTCAAAATGGGACACTAATGTCAAAGTTAGGTGTTCAATAGATGGGACAGAAATGTTGCAGTATCGTACGGTGTGATTGTTGTTTGTCCTCCTTCAGGAGACGCCTCAGTTGGGGGCCATGTCAGCTACTCCTCGTTCCTCTGTGTTTACCTTCGAGTCAACGGTGCACTCCTGCCAAGTGCTGCGCCGCCTGGATGAGCAGCGTCGCTCTGACGTGCTGTGTGATGTGACGGTGTTGGTGGAGGGTCACAGTTTCAGGGCCCACCGCTCGGTGCTGGCCTCCTGTGGAGACTACTTTGCTCTGAGGATCTCCTCCCTCTCACAGCACGGGGCAGTGATTACGTTACCTGCGGAGGTGAGATGAAGACATGAATATCGTAGCTACACGAGGAGTGTTCTGAAAAAATACAGTGAACTCAAAAAGTTCCATTGTGTAAATTTGTTCAGTGCTGTTTTATGAAACTTTAAATATCAAGAAATACTTGTTGTTTGCAAAACAGTAGGTTCAAAATATGGACCACATGCGAAACAGTAGGTTCAAAATATGGACCACAGTCCATCTATGGCACATGGAACAGTTTTTCTGGACCACAGCCTTTTCTCTAAGATGATGTTTTAAAACCTGATATTATTGCAGAAACTTTATTTTCTTTTTCATTTTATTCTCACTTACATTTATTTGAATATTTCTTTTGAATGGTTTTAAACTCTGGCTAAGATGTGTTTTTCTTCATGATTTGTTGTTAAAATAATAAAAACAAACCAAAACAAGAACAGAACTGTTCATCATTCCTCTTCCACAGGTGTCGGCTGCTGGTTTTGAACCGCTGCTGAAGTTTGCCTACACTTCCAAACTCCTCTTTGACAAAGACAGTGTCTTGGAAATACGTAATGCGGCGTCCACACTTGGTTTCAGAGACCTGGACGAGGCCTGTTTTGACTTCTTGCTCCCGAGGTTCTTTTCCAACGACACGGACTCTGTGCCAGTTCCTAGAAAGACCTGCTGTAAGAAGAAACAGTCCAAGGCAGACAACTCCACGGAGTCTGATGCAGCAGTGTTGGACGTGTCAGGAGAAAAACCAGTTGCTGACTCACCGATTCGGGGCGCGACAATGCAGAGAGTCAGTTACCACCAAAATGGGAAGTCTGAAGAGCTCGGGTGTGTTTGCACCTGCAGCTGAGGGAGGAAATGATAATTTCAAGCAATGTCCAAAGTACCGTAAGTTCCAGTTAGCATGTGGGAAGGATGGTTGCGTCACGGAGAAACATCTGGCCACAGGAGACAGGAATGAATGTCAGAACGTCAGTAAAAATAGCAGTTATTTTTACTGTGACGAGCCGTGGAATTCTGAACAAAGTGTGAAGAACAGGGAAGATGCTGCGGGCACTGGAGACGTTTCTGTCCTCAGGGAAGAACAGGAAGACTCAGAGCAGAGCCATGTGAATAAAATTAAAACAGAGCCCTCAGCAGAAGAAGACCCAGTGGTGGGTCACAGGTCATCCAGGTTAATATTACACCACTGCCCCCTGAGGACCCTGACCACTGAGTCCCTGGGGCAAGACTGTCTTTTAACAGATCTTGAAGATGGGACCAAGTCACAGCAAGAGTCCGAGGCACAGTCGGAGAACATGTTACACAGCGGTCGAGAAGACAGAGGACGAGCTGGACGAAAAATGAACCAAGAGACAGAGTCGGTGTATGATGCTGGAGATGCAGCATCTGAGATAAATGTCCAAGACCGAGTCCTGGACAGATCTTCTCAAGCTGCATGTGGACAGATACAGTCTGTGGAGATGAAGCTTCAAGTCAACGGAGGTGAAGGTGGTGGAGGAGGTGGAGGTGGAGGATGTCCTTTCCTTCAAGATTTGGACCAAAGCAGATGTTTATGGAAGGTGACAGGCGTCTCTGAGAGTGAGGCAGCGTCTCACTCAGGGGTTTCATCCCTGAACTCAGGAGACGACGGAGAATCAGAGACGGAAACTGAAGGAGACAGTGAGTCCAACGCCAGAGAGAGAGCCAAGCAGGTGAGGAGCTCCTGCTCTCCTGATCTCTCAGATTTATGGATTTATTTGATACATTTAAACTCTTTTGGTTAGAATTCAGAACTTTTTTCTAAAGTAACAAAACTGTTGTTTTTGCTGTTACTTCACGTTACTATATATATATAACCTTTTGGCTAATCTCTAGTTCTCTGTGCTGTATTTTGATTATCTTTTTTTGCCAAACCAGTCTTCAGCCAAACAGAGTTCTTACTTTGCTACTTACTATTCTGTTTATCTTAGATAAGACTTACCCTCATCACAGGGAGCAGGGCTGTACAGTGCAGGGCTAATGATTCACCAGTCACAGACGATGTGTGTGTGTGTGGGTCCACGAGTGTGGGGCATGTGAGACGGTTCAGAGTCCAACTCTGCTCTGTTTGACGACGTGAGGTCACAGTGAGGATCCACATATTCCAGATTATGGTGCAGATCAAAGGTTTGGAGATTACCAAGCGTCCAAAACCCGTGTAATCTGTTAGGAATTAAAACAATGTCAACAGTAAACAAAGACAACAAACAAAACATCAGTGTGAACTGAGGATATTTACACTAGATAATCGCCTTCCCAGTTTGTTCTGCTGCTGATGTGAGAACATTTCCTGAAACACGAGCAGCAGCAGAAACACAGAACCTGAAGAAAATATTTAGTTTTTTTGTTTTGTTTTCAAGTTCAGGATCCTCTTCTTTCATCCTCTTTTTTTACAAATGGTTCCTTTTTAAAGAAATTCATATTCTCCAGAGGGGAAACGACACATAATATAAATATACAATATATATTTGGGTTCAAGATAAATAGCTAAATGTTTGTCAAAAGATGGCAACAATTCTGATAAAACCACAAGGAATATTGGCTTAAAAAATAATAATAATAATTTTCCTGTCAACAATGCTAAATAAAAAAATGTTTTTAAATATATTATATATATATAATATTATATTGCTTGATTTTGCTCCTCTTGTGAAGTGTTATCTGTAGTATATTGTTTATAGAGATAACCTCCTCAGTATGAAATTAAAATGAAAAAGTTGGTAAAGTGGTTTTGAGAATAGCCTTGTTATTGAATAAGTAAAAAATAGCTAAATATAAATAAATAAAACAGCTAAGATAAGGGGGGTTGGCAGAAGACAGAGAGCGAAGCTAAAGATAACGTTAGCCCAAATTAATGCTCACCATTTTCTACAAAAGCCGAATATCTATATGTTATCATCTAAAATCTGACTAAGATATAGTCAAGAAAAAAAAGTTTATTGAAAAAAAAATGGACAATTATCAATTAAATCCATTCTTTTCTGTTTGTCTGAAGATTCACTTGCCATTCTCTGTGGAGTGGATCATGGACCTGAGCAGGAACGACTTCCAGCAGCTTCTGAAGCAGACGGACTTGACCCAGGAGCAGCTCGACTTTGTCCACGGCATGAGGCGACGCAGCAAGAACCGACTGGCTGCTCGGCGCTGCCGCAAGAGGAAACTGGAGTGCATTTACAACCTGCAGTGTGAAATCAACAAACTGGTAAAGAGACATTAGTCTGAGTGTTGTTGTCCATGTCTGTTCACTTTGAAGCGTTACCGAGATCGTTGTGTGCTGATTGGTCACAGAAGTCCGAGAGGGAGAAGCTGGTGATGGAGAAGAGCCACCTGGACCAGCTGAAGCAGAAGACCAGTCACAGCGTCGCCACCTTGTGTCAGAGGGTCTGCATCGAGGCCAACCTGCAGCCGGAGCAACTTCAGGTACTGGCTAAGTACTCAAGCTCAGAGTGTCCCCTGTCCTCCTTCTTCCCTCACTTGGACGCCCTCCTGTCACAGCCCTCGTCTTCACTGTCTTTGTCCAACACCAGTTCAGAAGAGAGTCCTCACTCAGTGTAGATGAGACAGACTGAAGACACTCATGTTGGACAAAGGAGAATTTAAAACTGAAAGCTCCTGACTTGTGCTGTTTAATATCGCCTGTAGCGCCCCCAAAGGGTGGCATTGGATAATTGCTGGTCACCCATGTGCTTTGATAATAATTGCTAATTATTAATAATTGCTGATAATTGCTGGTCACCCATGTGCTTTGTCTTTATAATGAGGAGGAGTATAGCTGAGAATAGCTGAAAAAATATTTCATGTTTGTGTACATTTGTAATCAAACTCTGGGAAAGACCGCAAACCTTATGATGTACATGCACATTTGGTTAGCTGGTTAGCTTTTGGCTAGCTTCCAGGCTATCTTTTTAGAGATTTCTATTAGCAGTAACTATGTTTACATTTTTCAAGGTTTCGCTAATTTGCAGTTTTGAATATTTTAGCTAGTTGATGTCACTGTCCCGTGTTCTGGTTAGTTTCCTTCGAGTTATTTTACCTAATTGTATATAATTGTATCTGTCCTCAACTCTGGTCTAATTTGTTTCCTTTACATTTTAGTACATCTGCTACGTTCTGCTAACTTTTAGCTACTATCGTTATCTTGAGCTAACATGCAGTTCTAGTTCTCGGTCACAACAGAGGAGTCAACACAGTGCGTGTGCGCGCGTTATAGTTAAACACTAGCCTCATGTCAGCCTCACACATTTCAGGTCGTCATTGTGGCCTCCCCTCCGTCATTTCTTCAAATCTTTTTGGACCAACACAAACAAAACTCAGACTTCAGACGATGAAGATAAAGAAAATATTGTTCGAACTTGTTTTTGTTTTGTTTCCTATTGTTTAGTCACAGTATAATTCACTGTTTGTGGGACTCGTGGCTGACCCTTAACTCAGGGACGACAGTAAACAGTGAACCAACAACTATTTTACTTTATTTTTATATATAGACTTCCACATCAGCGCTACTCGTTTTCCCTCACGTCTGAAACACTTTGTGTAACTTTTTGCAATCACGCATTAATCCAACAAAAAAGTACTTTTGACAACACTGATTGTACTGTATTAATTGTTCATATTGTATATTCATATTTTTGTTCCATGTTAACGGTTAAGTAGATTAGTGAAAAAATATATATTTTATCTTAGTACAAAAATATCTGTTCGTTTATTTTTTGTTCTTTAAATGTGTTTTGAAACTTTCTGTTTTTCTTTCACACCGGTCTGACTGCGATTACAATGCGATGGAATGAAAGCACTGGTGTTTGTTGCCCTCTAGTGGCAGAGTCTTTGTATGAACAGAAATACAGCAACAACCTAAATATAGTTTTGTTTAAAAAAAAAAACAAAGATGAAAAAACAAATTAATTAAAATAGAACTGTCTTTTTTTTAAAGAACTGACTTGAATTTCTATTTAATATATTTTTCTACTTCTTCTAAGTCTACGTCTTCTTTTACCCACGTAAAATATTATAGATAAGAACGTGAAAATGTATTTTCGTTAGTTGGCCAGCAGAGGACGCTATGTGATCATTCTGGAATTGTAAGGCCCGGGACAAGGGCATTTCATTTACTACACCATAATCCTTGAAGGCACTTTTTGTAATAACCAAATCACGTGACTACCTTCAACTGTCGTTTGATTCCACTATAATAACGTTAATTAAACCGATGTCAGTTCCGGTATATTCTCTCTGCCAGATATTTAAAAGGCTGTTTACCCCAAAGTCCTGTGTCATTTGTACTAATTAGCTGGTTAACTCTCTGTGCTGTCGATGATTGTTTTTATATTTATTTTCTGTGAGACTCATCTCGTCATTTGCTCCTTTTTTTGTTTTCTCCTTCTTCTCTGCTGTCTTTTTCTAGCTGTGCGTGTGAATATGTGGGTGTTTTCCGTGGGTGGTTCTCTGGCAGAGCTGGAAAACTACAAAGAACAATATGTCCAGCTCATAATTCCCGTATTGAACGGGTATTGAAAGATCTGCGCCAGCCGCTGTGTTTTTGTCAGTTTAGCCTCAAATGTTTGATGGACGTCAGACGACAGTTTCCTTGAGCGCTGCTCAAACAGTGTTTTTTTGGATTTGGACGGGTTTTAACGAGTTGGCGGAGATGCAGATTTTTCGTAGCCAAAATCAGATGACCATATAAATCTAATCCCTCAGGCAGACAATAATCCACTCAGTCATGTGGCGTCCTAATGAGAACCTGGGAGTCCTGGATCATCTCAGTCTAAACTAATAAAAGTCAGACGCTGTTTCATTGTCAGTGATCATGAGGCGGTGACAACTGCTGGTCCCAGGTCAGAGGTAAAGAATGGCACTGTTGCACAATGTTGTTATGGAGCATAAATGTGTGGGGAGGGGGGGAAAGGGCTGACACTGTGAAATCAACTGTCCCGATCATTATCACTTAATTACCATTAAAATGAAGATAATTTCTACGGAAATGTTGCTTTTATCTAATCTAACAACAGCGTCACTTCACACAGCTTAGAAAAATACAGGCAGCCTATATGATATAAAGTTAGCTACGCTTAGTTAGCCGTGGCTCACTTAGCCAAAGAACAGATAGCTTAGCTAAAGCTGAAAGATATTTAAAGTTTTGTTGAATATACAGATTTAATCATTAGTAAAATAAACAGCAGTTACTGACGCGACACAATGATTACGACAGAGCATTTTCAGGTTACAAAATACTGTTCCACCATGTAAATAAGGCCCAGAGCAGAGATGAACAAGTTTGAATCAACAAGGTAATTTAGATGGAAAATGCTGGGAATTACAGCCAAAAAAAGTACCTAAAAAAAAAAAAATCTAAGTAAATGTAGATAAGAGAAAACATTAACAAGTTAATGGGAAAATAGCCTTAAGCTTGTAGTGAACGCAAATTAGCAGAACAAACACAGCCCAAAGACAACTAAAGGTTAGCCACACAGAAGCCAAAGGTTAGCCAATACACAGCAAATGTAACTAAATGATCCCTGGAACTGCTAAAAGTAAGCTAAAAGTTAGTCAATTTTAGATACAATTTGCCACATTTTAACCATCGGATCAAAGCGCATCCTAGAAACAGAAACAAGGTAGCAAGAAATATAGCACACGCCTAATGGTTAGCCACAAGAAGCCGAAACCTAAGCATAGGATGACATTTTCTTTTTGTCCACCAAAAGATTCAAAGCAAAGCTGTTGAGAAAAAACTCCTTGTGGTCAAACCAGGTAACTAGTCGTTAGTAGAAAATCAAGATGATTAAAAGAGTGAGTACAAAGAGGAGGAACCACGTAAACACAGCCTTAAAAGAGTGGAAGACGTGTAACTGAAGCAGGATGTTGGTGGATAAGTTATGAAGACGTGTAACTGAAGCAGGATCCATCCATCCATCCATTTTCATCCGCTTATCCGTTACCGGGTCGCGGGGGCAGCAGTCTCCACCCAAATCACATTGCACCGTACCAAACCTTCCTGTGGGTGGTGAGTCCACTGGAAGGTACCAACCGCCCTAACCGGGATTCGAACTTGCCCAGGAGGTGAACCCTGGGGTTCCACACCAATGACAGAGACATTGCCTCTGGGCCAAAGCGCCACCTGAAGCAGGATGTTGGTGGATAAGTTAATGTAAAAATAAAATAAAGCCTTGCTCTTGTTACCATGGTTACCGTGAACCATCTTCACCAGAGCATCCAGGTTAGAAGAATACTATCTATAGACTGTAGATGCTACGGCTGAAGGAGCTTAAGAGTTATAAAAAAAAAAAAAATCAACCCTAGATAAGAAATGTACTGGGCTTCTAATGCAGATACTGCAGTTTCTGTGAGTACCTGTACACCTGTAAACATTTAAACCCACAAATATTCCAACAAATCATTCTGATTCTTATAATCGTATGGTTTATTTTATTTTTTTTAAATAAATGTGCGCATATTTTTTTTTCAGAAAAGGATCAAGAATAATACATTTTCATTGACTTGAGAAGTGTAACCTATTCAACCACCTTTCGCATTTTATCACTACTACAGGTCATGTAGCTGAACAGCAGAGGTTCCTAACCATCGGGTCTAGGACTGATTTTGGGTCGAGGGTCATTTGAAGTCAGGTCGCAGAGAAAGAAAACATATATATATATATATATATATATATATATACACATATATATATATATATATACACATATATATATATTAGGGCTGTTGATCCACTACATCCATTACAACAGATGAATAACAAGGTAGCTGTGGAATAACCATGATTAATCCTAATTCCAATTTTTCATTAATAATTAAGGCACTTTCCTTTCACTATTCCATAGAGTTCCAAGCTATAAAACTATTTTTCCCCACATTGTGTGCCAACAACATTTGTGTTAACTATGTTAGAGCAACGATAAGTGGACGGACAACGGATGGTGTCATGTGTTAAAATCGCACGAATTAATTAACGCAATCAACATATTAATTTCGACACGACTATTTTTTGTTGTTGTGAGGTTTTTTTTTTGCCCCCTTTTTTTTCTTAAGCTAAAATGTAAGCGTACGCCCAAGGTTGCAGAGCATTGACTCCAGTTCTGTTCTCTCAGCATGAGAACTACTGGAACCTCAAGTCCAAATATTAGCAGTGTATCTGACACATTTTTACAGTCTTTGTCAAAGAAAGCGACGGCAGTGAAATCTTCAGTTCCTCCGTCCGAGATACTAAAAGTGTTTTCAATAAATCTGCAGCGTCTGAGTTCATGTATCATCAGTCTGAAGGCTGCGACTTCAGAGAAAAACTCACGGTTTCCTCAGAAGGTCTTCAGATTCTCAGGGAAGAACTTTACCTGCTCGGCTCGTCCTCCCTTGTCCTCGTGTGTGACTCCGTTCACCGACTCCTTTGGCGTCCCGCGTCCTGCAGTTATTTGAAGCAGCCCGAGCAGCTCGACTGGTTCCTGGAGTCCAGCTGTGGTGAGACGGTGTCTGGAACCACAGATTTCAGGATGTCGTTCTCCGTGGCCATGATGTGTTTGACCAGGCAGTTTGAAGCCTCAGCGATGTTGAGATTGTCCTGAAGGAGAAGGAGGCGTAAGGTCATGTGCTTCTGACTGAAAACCACAAAGTCAAAATTTTTTAGGCTAATTTTGGCCTAAAAGTGAACACATTTTATATATACTAGCTTAACAAAGTTGTACAGCAAAACGTGAAAATACTTAACAAATACTTATACACACATAAATGAACTCACAAAACATGTAAAATATATATAACCAGTAAATGACCTGTGACCCCAGAGTTTGGAAAACAACATGGGTGTCACTCAGCTGTTCCTATAAACTTTCATGTAAAGCTACAACCGTGGATGTACGTGGTGTTCAATCAGTAAATTGTAAAAAATATAACTGCTCAAATCCGGTGTTGAATTCTGTAGATTGTGTAATTCTTCGACACCAGGTTTTGAAGCTGCAGTGTAAATCTAGCCGAGCCAATTCACATTACGGTACGAAATTCCTGTTGTCTCTGTGGAGTCGTCTGTTTTTGTCAGTGACTCCAATCCACAACCAGAGCAGTTGGTCTGGAGTACAATCTCTGTGAGTGTATTGATCAGGTGACAAAAAAAAATGTCTGAGAAACACTTTTGACTTAGAATTAACTCATAGTTTTTATATATTTTTTTCAATATAGTGGTGAAATTTTATTGTAATGTTAAGCAAAGTAAACTAGATTTTAGTCTAATTGCTAGCATTATAGCTACCTAATATCTATTGTTGGCTAATTTTAGCTATGTTTGCTAAAGGTTAGCTAAAATCTCTCATGACGTCCCCATGTTTTCTCTTTTGACGTGGGTAACTTTCTATATCTCTTATAAGAAACCTCTGGTCCTCTTACCTTAGCTGAGGTCTCAAACCAGCCCACGAACCCATGGTCTTTGCAGAACTGGTCCATTTTGATGCCGTTGCTGGCCAGCTCTCTGCCCTGGTCACACTTGTTGGCCAGCAGCACGGTGGCGATGCTCTGACCGTTGGCCAGCATCAGTTTGGAGTCCAGGTCCTCTTTCCACTTGATGACCGCCTCAAAGGTGGTGGGTCTGGTCACGTCGAACACGATGAAGGCGCCCATGGCTTCGCGGTAGTAGACTCTGGTCATGTTTCCAAATCGCTCCTGACCTGGAACATAAAAAAAAAAAAGAAATCCATCAGGCTGCACACATGTCCTCTCTGCTGAGGGAATCACATTGTTTTCCAACTATTTGGGAGCAGATCCAACTTTTCCAGCTGACATCCAGTCTGTAGTCTGCAGCGTCTGAGTTCCCATTCAACATCACATTCCTACAGTCACGTTGTTCACGACACGGTCAATGAAGACGTTTGTTTCTGTTGCTCAAAGATCAGCTGAAATGAAAACTGGCCTCGAATTAAAGAAAATGTCTCTCAAAGGTGCAGACAGAAATAACTCCATGTTTGTGAAGAAGTAATAAAACCCATTTGGAATAAAATGTCCTTAAAATATCTAATAAAATCGCCATCGTTTTGAGCACAGTATCCACATAGCAAAGCTAAACGGTAGCGTAAATTTTAGAGTGTATGTAAAGTCAAAATATAATTTAAGTATATTCAATAACAGATTTGTTCAGACACTGTTAAAAGTTAAATATTAGTGGACTTAAAGAAAAAAAGTACTCCTTAAAGATAGCTAAAAGAATAAAACTTAGATCCTAAGGTGCTCAAAGCTAGACAGAAACCAAAGATAACAAACACACAAAAATAAGTAAATAAATCAAATTTAGTCTATTGATTGCTAATTGCTACTACAGGAGAGCTAAATGGGAGCAAAACCATGTCCTGGGTGAAAAAGTAATGTTAGCTAATAGCTAATGCTAACGTTCAAACAAATAAACCAACACAAACATTGTGTGGAGGAGCAGGTTAGAGGAGCTGTAATTACAACAATGCCCTGCAGCTTGTGCTCTTCTGTGTCATGTGTGTGTGTTTGTTGCAGGTAGGTGTGTGTGTGTCTATAATGTTCCAGCTGCAGCACTTAAACATGTATAAGAGTGTCAGTCTGACAGACAACACACTGCCCTGTATCAACCATGACTAACAGGAAATGGAAAACTGGTCATGACCAAGCACTTCCTCTATGAGTTCTGTGCTGCAGAACATCTGAATGATCTCCTCTGATCACATGGAACGCCGGACGTTGCACAAATCGCACACATGACTTGATGTAAAAGTCGGCGACTTTAGCAACATTTAATTTATCTCCAGGTTAATGTCGAAGATAATTTAGGCTTTTCAGAATTCCTGAGCTACGTTTTGTAGTTGGGCTAACACTTAGCTATGTCTCTAGTGGTTTAAAAGTTAAGGCTACCTTCCAGTATTCTTTAAATGCTGCTAAGCTTTTTTTTTTTTTTTTTAATAAAAATGATTCTGTATTTTAAGTAATATTTACAAACGTAGGAATGACATTTGAGTTTCGGCCAAATCTTTCCACTCCTTTACATTTTTTTGTGTCTGATTCGTTGTTTCATGTTTTATGCTAACTTCTTAGCACTTTGTTTCATGAAAGTTTAGATAATTTTTAAGCCAATTTTTTTATTAATTAAATATAATATTAATTCTTTTTTTTTTTTAAGCTTATTTTTAGTTATTTTTTTAATTCAAGGCCTGGTACATTTTATGTCATTTCACAGCTTTTACTTTTACCTTCACTTGTCCAGATATAAAGACCAGATATTACTTCAGTACATTTAGAGCTGAGCAGCAGCTATGAGTTACGCTGCTGCAGATACAGTAAACACCACAAACAAATGGGAGACATAATTCTATTTACTGCAAACTAATCATCTGTGTTGAGCATGTGGTTTAGTGTGTGTGTGTGTGTGGATTCATTCAGTCTGTGTGATGCTCCTGTGACTGGGCTTCAAACGTCCCTCACATGAAGCTGATCACATGATGCAGCACCTGAGACAATGACTCAATGACAGTGGATGACGAACAGTGTTTATGACAGAGAGACAGTGAGTACGAGGGGGGAGGCAGGGTGTGTGTGCGTGAGTGGGGGGGGGGGCTACTACTGTCCACAGTGACACTGGGCCCTGAGGCTGTGAACGTTTCACAACTTTACAACCGCCGTCACGCCTCACTGTCAGATCAGAGATAAACTCCAACATCCTGACGCAGCTTCCCCATCGATTCAGCACGTTAGACCTGAACACGGTACAAACGCAGGCAGTAAATAATGACCTGAAGACACGCATTTGTCCGTTTACAATGACAGCAAGGGCAGCCACTGATCAGGTATGTCCAAAATACGGCTCCGGGGACTGATTGTGGCACTTGGTTTAGTTTAAATTTTTTAAAATTAATAATCACGATTTACTTGCAGTGAATGCATTATTTTTAGTCATAAGTCATTTGTGCTCCTTCAAGGAGAATAATTATTTGCCATTTTGGATATAACCGATAATAATTGATAACTTTACTTCCACTCTAGCTTTTTTTTTTTTTTTTTTACAAATTTTTCACACCCTTTGCTGTTTGATATTTCTTATTCTTTAAGCCATTTCTTGGTTAACTTGTAGCTAACAGTAAGCGTTTAAATACACAGCTTTCTTAAGCATAAATATTATATGTATACTGTGTATATATTTAACATGTTTTTTGTTTTGTTTTTGTTTTTTTGCATTTCTTCCTGTTTTCTATCTTGCTAACTTTGGGGGAGAGCGGTAGTTCAGTTGCATAACTTTTTTGTGTTATTTAACAAAAATAACATTGACATGTCTTAAATTTTGTGACTTTTTATAAAAATATTTGTACAGCAGTTTATAACGGTCTCCAGGTCTAAAGTTTTATCATTAGAACCGAGGTACAACTGCGCCTCGGTTCTAATGATAAAACCTCAGACAGTAGACGAAGGAAGTTCTCGTGAGTCCCACCTGCAATGTCCCACAGCTGGAGCCGGACGGTCTCGTTGTCCCAGTTGAGCACCTTCAGGGCGAAGTCCACTCCGATCGTGGCTCGGTAGTTGTTGGAGTAGGTCTGATGGACGTAGCGTCTGATGATGGAGGTCTTCCCGACGCCGAGGTCTCCGATCACCAGCACCTTGTACAGGTGCTCCGTCCGCAGGCTCTGCATGCCGTTGGTCTGGGGAGGGTGGTTGGTCATGTCAGCGGGTCGAACCTCGGACTCTGTGGAGACGCCTCGTCCTGGTGTCCGTGTCCTCCTCTCTGTGCGCGTCTCTAGAGGGAAGTGTCAGTGGGGAGAACGTGTGACCTCGCCACGCCACGGTGCACACAGTGCGCAGCCTGCAGTGCGCACGGAGTTTTACCGAGAGCAGCAGCAGCAACAGCAACAGCAACAGCAGCAACAACAGCAACAACAGCAGCAGCAGCGACTTGGTCAGCCCTTTAACATCACACACTTGTTACTGTTGCTGTTCAGACGTTTAACTTCTGTTAGTTGGAGATCAGACAAATCATTACTGTTAGTATATATATATATATAAAACTTTACATATATAAAATTAATATAAAATATAATAAATAAATAAAGATTACCATCAATTAAAAAAACAAATTGAGATTAGTAGGTCTAAATATAAATTTGAAATTTTATAAATTAAATGTATACAACTAACTTAGAAATAACTGTTATCTTCAAACAGCTACAAGTTATAACGCGCTAAGGGAAGGATAGTTAGTTGATAAGTTAATGAGTGACATTAAACCACTCCAGGGCCCACGACTGTCCCCTGACCTTCATTTACATAATTGCTTCTACCCCAGCGTTGGGTAAATTTCCATGATAAACAACGGTGATGCCTCTGTGTGGCTTCACTCTGTCCCTCAGCTCATCAAAGCTATGAATAAACATTTCCCACCACTGTGTGGTGACTAACGGTACTAACCAATTAACAACATCAGGGAGATTGGATCCCCTTAATTAATGAAGAGTGGCCCAGAAACCTCATTCACCGTTTCCTGTTCTAACGGTTATCACTCAGCCGTTTTGACACACTTTTCGTCTTATTTATAAAAGTTACACCAACTCAGAAAGAGAGAGAGAGAGAGAGAGATCAACTCAGAAAGAGAGAGAAAAAAAAGGTACCACTGCACATGATCCAGGTCTGCACACAATGAGTCTAGTCTTCCTGAAAGGAGATAAAAAAATAAAGGTGAGACACGCAGGGAATTATTGAATATTTACAACATGGCTAAAAGATGAAAACACATAAATCTACTCTCTCTATAATCAATATAAATGTTTGGACACAAAAATTAACTGCAAAAGGAGAAGATTAGCCAGATATAGGTACAGGTATCGTGAAAAATATAATGTACTAAAGCACTATAACTGAAAACTTTGAACATTTTATATGATTGACCAGTTTCTGCCAGTACTGAGACGATAGCACTGTATGACGAATTAGTGCTTTCAGAAAAGTAAGCGTGGTCTGTCATTTACCTTTTGTTTTTGTTTTACATCGTCGACCCCTCGTCTTTGTGAATATCAGGGGGTGTGACCTGTAACAAAACAATATCTTCACAACTTTAGTTTGGCAGCTGCATTTTTGAAACTCTGCTTCAAACCTCCTAACAAAGCCATCACAAGAAAAAAGTATAAAGGAAAAAACAACGGGGCAGACAACTCTTCCTAAAACACATAAATATCCATTTAATACTAGAATTTCACTGTCATCTGTCATCATTGATCCTAAACTAGTTGGACTTGTGCAAAAATGTGAAAGCAACGCATTACAAATGTTTAAACGTCATGCATTTACGAAATATGTTGAAAATTCAGCAGAAATTATTTTGGTTCAGAGAAGTCCTGAGGAGAGAGAATGTTTTGGTCCACTATTTTTTTC